TGGCAATGCTTTTTAATGAAACAACTTAAAGGGGGTTTTTTTTTTTTTTTTTTTTTAAGTTAAAAACCACTTATCTCTGGCCAAGCCATGGCTGGACATATCACTAAGACACTACATTCCAGGGGCAGGGACCACATGGAAGGTCTAAATCAGATTCCTGATCCAACCTAAAGGTTGGGTACAGTGGAGTGAATCTGTAATCACAGAGACACAGGAAGTCTCAGGCAGAAGGATCATGAGTTTGAAGATGGCATGGGCAACATAGACCCAGACTGAAAAATAGACAGACTCAGATGTGAGGCATATGCCTGCAGTCCCAACTGGGAGGCTGAGAAAGGAGGACAAAGACATGGCGAGACCATGTCTCAATAATAATAATAATAATAATAATAATTGAAAAATAACTATTGGGACCAGCAGATAGCATAATGGCTACATCCCTGGGCTCCCATGTAGTTGACCACGGTTCGAGTCCTAGACCCAGCGGTTTAAACTCATGCTGGTCATGTGTGTATGTGTGCCCAAGAAGATCCTGAGAGGAGAACGGAGGAGAAGGGACTGCGATGTGGCCATCCATCCTGGGGAGTGATTTCTCACTTTCTGTCTGTCTCTGTCTTTCTGGTGAGCGCACGTGCTCTATAGCAAAAACCTCTCCAAAAAAGAATAATAACTATCAATTATCTCTATTGCAAAAGCCAATGAAACTTAGAGAGTACTATGACTACATACTCTGCAGAATGACAGCAGCACAGCCATCATTTAGAGGCTAAGTAAAAAAAAAATGTTCAGAGAGGAAGGGTAAGAAGGATCCCATGGCCCAAGGAAAGTCTCCTTACATGGGACTTTACACCGTACTGTGTCTTTTTCATGCACACAGCAGGTTTAAAGCAAAATGGTAGAACCACGGCAAGGTTCCTGCCTGTTTCTTAAAATGAGTAGGTCGAAAGTATAACTTGTCTTTCTCCCAAGAGCCTAACCAGCTTCCAACTCTTCTTACCTCTTAACGATACCACTATCGTCCCCAGTGCTAGCATGAAAGCAATGGAGTCAAATTCAGTTCTTCAATCTCTTCATTCGGCTCTTATCAATTTTATCTCATCATGCCTTTCCATGCTACAATGGCAGCACACTGGCTATGCTGACTTTCCCAGTCTGCAACATCCCAATCAGGGCTATCCAGTTACTCTTCCTCGTGGGCCATGAACTTTTTTCCACCTCTTTTACTTACTTCACCTGGAAATGCCAAACCTAATCCCTACTTGAACTTCTCAACTCACTCCCCAGCATTCAGAATTATTCTAGGCCTCCCATGAGCTAGTTTTCATCTATTATAAGAAGTGTGAGTGGCCTGTGTAACAGTTACCCCTGAACATACCTTTTCTTCTAAAGAATCATTTATTTATTTAATTCTATTTCTCATCATTACTTATTTTTAAATTTGACCATGAAGAAACAGAAAAAAGGGACCAGAAGTTAGCGTACTGGCTATGTTGCTGGACTCTCACATAGTTGACCGCGGTTCGAGTCCCGGACCCGGTGGCTTTAACTCATGCTGGGCGCGTGTGCGCATGTGCCCAAGATCCCAAGAGGAGAATGGAAGAGAAGGGAATTGCAGCGTGGCCACCCCCCCTGGGGGATGATTTCTCTCTTTCTGTCTCTCTGTCTCTGTCTGTCTGTCTGGCGAGAGCACGCGCCCTATAGCAAAAACCTCTCAAAAAAGAACAGAAAAAAATGGTTAAGTGAAAAAGAAGATAGGTCTGGGACCTGAACTGAGGGCAGCCATGTGGAAGTCCAGTGCCCCAATCACCACACCACTTGCTGCCCCCATCCCTGAATATATCTTATCTCTCCTTCCAATTTATGAACACTTCAAGGGCAGGGAATGTATCTAATTGACATATTGCCTCCCCCACACATAGCTGATAATACACTGTAGGCATCTGATCATTGTTTCTTGTACTGAAATGAATTTCAGAATGATGACACCTACAGTCTAAGAAATCTAATCAAGAGATTATTATTACTTTACAAAGTAACTTTTTTAGAATTATTTAATTTATTACTATTATTTTTTAATTCACTACAGGATATGTGCTCTCCAGGAAATGAACTGCAGTCAACCATGCAGGAGTCCAAAGCCTTGACCACCATGCCACCTGCTGGCTCCCACAAAGTAATACTTCTAAAGATTTCCTCTTGGAGAATCAAATAGAAAAAAACAACAGCTACACTGGTAGCTAGTTATAAAACAAGTACTTTGTGCCAGATGCTGTTTTACTTATTGTTTTAACTCATTTAATCTTTATAACATCCCTATGGACAAAAGTATTATCATTATTATTGTTATTATTATTTTGTCAGAGGGCACGTGATGGTAGAGAAACAGTGACAGAAAAAAGAGAGAGAGAGGGAAAAAGCACCACCCCCATGGAGGGTGGTTATTCTGCAATCCCTTCGCCATTTCTCCATTCTGCTGGGATTTGGGGCACACACACACATGCATCTGGTGTGTTTTTTAAGCCATTAGGGTTGAAATTTGAACTGTGGTCAGCCATGCTGGTGCCAACACCCTAAACCACTAGGTCATGAGGCTGGCCTATAATGATTCACTTTCCATAAATACTATAGAGCCATATGTTCTCTGTTCACTGCAAAAGTGACTCAAATCAGAAACATTATTTCAGAGGTTATAAATTTAACGTGTGCTCACCACATTTACTGAGAAATATCTAAAATCTGCTTAAATAAGTATTTTCACCAATAGTGCTATTGGGAGATTCAAAAGAGAAGATATTTGGCATATTCTACTTCATTGAATATTACTACTTAGATGTTTCCCCCATCCCTTTCAACAACAAAAACTAAACAAAAATAGCTATTTGTGAATAAGTATGAGTCTTCATAACTTCATTGTTATTAAGTTACACAAATTTAATTCTCATCTGCATCTAGATGGGTTTGTGTGAGCAGCCTATATATAGATTAAGAGAAGTCTTTAAAGCTGATGGATAGTGAACCAAATGAGTTGCCTGCCAGCAGAGACTGGAATAAAAAGAGAATAAACCAAACCATAAAGTGAGAAACCCTAGGTTCTCCTCTACCCATGGGAATAATGGGTTTTCACCTGCCTTGAACAAAGGCAAACTCTTTGAATAACTGATTACTTGAGAAATCAAAGCAAAAGAGTTATATTCAGGGCGAGCAAGTGATGTGGAAGTTAAAGCAGATGGATCCCACATGGCTGACTGCACAGTTCAAGTCTTGGACCCAGTGGCTTAAAAATCACACTGGGCACATGTGCATGTCTGCCCAATCCCAAGAAGAGAATGGAGGCAAAGGGACTGTGGCATAGCCAACCTCCCCGATGATCTCACTTTCTCTTTCTGGCAAGCACATGCAGTCTATAACAAACTTAAAAAAAAAAAAAAAAAAGTGACCACCATATATCTCTGTCCTGTAAGACCATGAAAGTATGTTGATGGCATTCAAGAGGTAATAAGGTCCAAGAACAGGAGACATGAATCAGGGTGAATCAGGAATAGAAAGAGAAAAGAATAAGAAATGAAGTGTTCTCAAAGGGCCTGCAGGCAGCATGGTGGTGAGGGCACTGGACTCCCACATGGCCAACTGCAGTTTGAATGCCAGGTCTGGTGGCTTGCTTTCTTGTTTTCCCTCTACCTCTTTCTCTGTCTCTCTCTAGTAAGCATACAAGTCTTGTGGCAAACTGAATAATAATGATGATAAAGAATATTAAATAAATAATTCTAAAAGAAATTAGTTATTCTTTTATTTATTTTTTTGAGAGGTTTTTGCTATAGGGCGTGTGCGCTTGTCAAAAAGATAAGAGAGAGAGACAGAAAGTGAGAAATCACCCCCCAGAGGGGATGGCCACGCTGCAATCCCTTCTCCTCCATTCTCCTCTCGGGATCTTTGGCACTCAAGCACATGCATACTGCGTGAGTTTAAGCCACCGGGTCCGGGACTCAAACTGTCATCAACTACATGGGAGTCCCATGTAGTCGACATAGCCATTAAGCCAACTGCTGGTCCCAGA